CGGGAACCTCGCGGGGGACCCCGGCTGAGCTCCGCCGAGCGGGCCAGGCGCGCCCGGAGCGGCTCCCGTGCGCAAAGCGGGCCCCGACCTCACCGTGATGCCAGTTTGGCCAGAGCCCCTCCGCCTTGGAGACGCAGCAACTTGGTGAGGGTCACATGGTCCGGACTGCACAGCGCCCGAGCTGACCGGGCCCAGGGGCGAGGAGAACCTCCGGCCAGCGGGGGACCCAGCGGCACCGCCGGGGGACGGGTAGGTCCCGGGAACGGGGGCTCAGAATTTGGAGGACTGAGCGGGCGCGGGCCGGAGGCGAGGCGCGGGGAGGTAGGGGAAGGTCGAAGGTCCCGTGGCTCATCCTCAGCCCCACGCTGGTGTGCCGGCTGCTAACTCAGCCTCACCGCAGCCTGCGTGGGCGGTGAGGGGAGACGGTTTGGGAAACTGAGGCAGGAGGGTGGANCTGGCCGGAGGCGAGGCGCGGAGAGGTAGGGGAAGGTCGAAGGTCCCGTGGCTCATCCTCAGCCCCACGCTGGTGTGCCGGCTGCTAACTCAGCCTCACCGCAGCCTGCGTGGGCGGTGAGGGGAGACGGTTTGGGAAACTGAGGCAGGAGGGTGGAGCCCGAGAACAAATCCCAGAACTTCTGTCTCCAGCTCTCTCCGAGGAAGGGAACAGAATGCTAGAGAACCCAGCCTAAATGCCCCCCCGCAGTATTTTGCATCTCGGGGTTCATAGGAGAGAGAGGAGAGAGGGGTTGGAGAATGTGGCAGCTCAGAGAGAAGTGGGAAGCGGACTGCCGGGGAGAAGACAGGCTGCGTTTGTAATGATGAAAGGGAAGGTTCTTGATGGGGATGGGAGAGGAGATGCCAACCTAGAGGAGAGGTCCATCTGGAAGGGCGGGAAGGTCTCTGCCCACAGAGCACACCCGCTCCCCAGGGTATCAGCTCCCCTTCCTCCCTCTGCCCCTTGGTCACCCTGGGACTGCTAGGACACAGAGGTGTGGGTTCTTCCTGGGCCGCATCATCCCACCTGCCTCGGCCTGGCCCACCTCCCTTTGGGAGCTGAGGGAGGAGAGGTCTTAGGAAGAAATGGAGAAGCTGTTGGGACTGGGCCTCTGAGGCTCAGAGAGCTGGAGGACCGTCATTCTAGCCCCCCTGGAGTGGGAATGGGGTGCGGGTGGCAGAGTTGAGCCATCTCCATGTGAGCCCAGGAAGCCGCTGTGAGGGGGGTAGGAGGTAGAGGCAAAGAGGATTTAGGACCTCAGGGTCTGTCCCAGGTGCCTCTTTGAGCAGCATCCTGTGAGATCCTGCTCAGGACCCCTGCCTTGGCCTTCAGCTCCCTCCCAAGGCCAGACAGGTGACAGAGCTGGTTCTTAGACACCTCCTACCATCAGCCCTGCTTTCCTCCTGGGACAGAGAAACTCCCTCAGCTACTCCTCTCAGGATAAGCACACTGCAAGTTCCCAGAGTCTGCAAGGACCCCTGCAAATTCCCAGAGTGGGGACGAGACTGCCCCCTGCCCTGCACCTTGGGGAACAGACTCAGAATTGGGCTTTGTTTCATGCTCAGCCCACCCCCTTGCCCTCAAGGAAGCCTCCTTTTACCCCCTACAGGGCCATGTGCTCCCTCTGTCCCTTGCAACCCCCCAAGAATCCTTCCTACTTGTGTAGGTGGAGTGAGCCTGAGGCCAGTGGATGAACAGACAGAAGCTGAAAGCTCCCAATAAAGGTGAGTGAGGAGACGGGGAGAATGGGGGTGAACGGAGGAGACCCAGCACCCTACCCAAGGGAGCAGCCAGGTCCTGGCATTTGGTTTGGCCTCCAGTATTCCCAGCACTGTGCTGACATCTGAGGGAGCCCAGCGATGCTCCAGGGGCCCAGCAGCTTCCAGCTGCTCTGTGCCTCAGTTTCCCTGGGACCCCCTCCATCTCTAGCCCATTCTCTGGGATGGATTTGGGGGGCCTGGACCATTGAGGATGGGGGAGGGGAAGGAAAGGGGATGAGAGCAGAAGCAAGGTGGTGCAGTAGAATTGGGGCAGGCTGCTGGGCTCCCAGGCCCTGCCACCCACCCGCTGCCTGGCCTTGGGCAAGTCATTTGACTTCTGTTAGCCTTGGTTCCATTTCTTCCTTTTTAAACTTAAATTTGCTTAAACTGAATTGCTAGTATATTCCCAAGGTTAAAAACCCAAAATGTGAAAGAATGAGAGGAACAAAAATAAGTCTCTCTCTAACTTTTTATCTCCCAGCCAGCCAGTTCCCCTTCTTGTTGGCAACCAACGTTATTAGGATTTTTATGTACATTTCCAGAGCTAGCTTATGCATATTTGAGCGAGATCATTGCCTGCCTCGGCACAGAAAGCGTTTCCTCATCTTTTTCACAGCTGCCTGGGCAGGACTGCATTTGTACAGTGCTCCCCAGTATATTTAGCCCGCCCTTGACTGATGGTTGTTTAGGTTGTGTCCAGGCTTCTTGAGTATCGGTTTGCTTATCTGTAAAATAGGTACAAATAATTTTACTTTGTAGGACAGCTGGGAAAGATTCAAGACCCTGTTTGTGAAGTGCCTGGGCCAAGTGCTCCAAAACTGGGAGTCAGCATTATCATGTCACTTTTTGTCCGTGGGACAGTGTCTGGTTCGCCCTTCAAGGCCCCTTCTAAATGTCATCTTCACAAAGCTTTACAGCAGGACAGCCTCCCTTCCTGCCCCTCTTCCTGCTAGGAAAGCACTCACTATTTTCTACAATGAGTTTGGGCCAGGCTGAGAGCTGCCTGGGGACAAGGTGTGCACCCTGCCCACCTCTGTGCCTCCCAGAGTGTGTGGCACAGAGGCGGAGGGGTGGGCTTGTGCCTGGAGTTGGAGCAAGAAGGTATGTGCCTCTCTCTGCAGGATGCGTGAGAGGGCCGCGAGGAACTGGAGCACGGGTGGCTGGCTGCTGGCGCTTTGCCTGGTCTGGCTGTGGACCCTCCTGGCTTCGGCTTCCTTGCAGCCTCCAACCCCCACAGGTTTGGGGGAGGTGGCAGGGCCTGGGGAGGGGTTTGCTGGACACCACCCCACCCCATTCAACAGTAGGCAGGTCTCTGAGGCAGAGTAAAATCCACAGATTCTAGGGGTTCTGGCTCCTCGCTCTGTTCTTCCCCCAGGAAACTCTGCCCCTTCTGCTGTCCTAGGCCCAAAACGTGGGCAGATCCATTGCTCACCTTCCCTTTCTGGCCCGGCCCGAAGCTGTTCTGCAGGGAGAGAGGCCCCCGGTGGGGGCTTAAGCCTAGCCTCCTGGCCTAATTCTGCGATTTTCCTTCTGGGATGGCTAAAGCCTGTGTAAGCGGATAATCCTTCCCACGCACTGTAAGCCCCGGGGCCCTTGCCCTTCTGGAGGAAGCTGGGAGGTGTCCTGTTGGTGTGGGATTTCATCCTTCTTCTGCCCACGGGCCAGGCTCTGCCAAAGGGCAATGAGTGTGGCCTCGCTAGGGAAGCAGAAGGGACTGGAACACTGGAGCAGCAGGAAGATTTCCTCCGTTTTCTCCTCTCCTAAGCTGGGAGGAGGGGCTGGAGGGATGCCCAGGTGGGGGTCCAGGCGGGGAAGAAGGGAGCAGGGTGCAGGCCTGAGCCAGGTCCCTGATCCTGTACTGGCCCCTTCAGTCCTCGTGAAGCAGGGCACCTGCGAAGTGACAGCTTCTCACCGCTGCTGTAACAGGAACCGCGTGGAGGAACGCTCCCAGACTGTCAAGTGCTCCTGCTCCTCCGGCCAGGTGGCTGGCACCACGCGGGCAAAGCCCTCCTGCGTGGACGGTGAGTGAGAGGCTGGGACCCCGAGGGGAGGGCCTGATCAGAGAGATAAGGAGGTCTGTCTGGGCCTGGCCATCTGCTGGGGATACAGTTTCCCATCTCAGGGCTTCCATGTCTGATCTCAAATGATGGGGCAGCCTCCGGGGGAGGGCAGACGTGACCATCCCATTTCATAGATGAGAAACCTCCCTCTGGCCGGCACTCACTGCCTGGTGCACACACAGATGTGCCCCCTCATATGGATGCCCTCACACCTCCTCTCGTTCTCAAGCCGGCCTCTGCCCCCCTCCCATGGCACGTGCATGCCTTCACTCCCACCCCCTTTCCCATGGCCCCACCCATGCTCGTTTTCTCACGCTTGTGCACGCCTGCTCTGTGGACCGCCCGAACGGCTCGCACCCTTGCTCACATACACGAACTGGTATGTTGGGACTGTGCTTCGAGGCTAATGAGACGGTGGCTCAACCTGAGGGTTGCCTTGGACACAGCGTCTCCTGCCTTCACCCTGCGCTGTCTTTGGTGGATGCAGGGGTCAGTGGGATTGAGGTTGACATGGTTGTGTGCCTGGGCCTTTCTGGGCGGCCCAAGTAGGGGAAAGACAGGGAAATGCAGGGCTCAAAGCCAGGGCCATGTGCAAATGTGCACTTCATTCCGCACAGACACCCCTTGACCACACACTATACTCGCAGAGGGCTTAGCGCTCCCCTCATTGCCTTCTGCTCCCATAGCCTCCATCGTCCTGCAGAGGTGGTGGTGCCAGATGGAGCCCTGCCTGCCCGGGGAGGAGTGCAAAGTGCTCCCGGACCTGTCAGGATGGAGCTGCAGCAGTGGGCACAAAGTCAAAACCACCAAGGTACCCAGTGGTAGACCCTTCATCCCCTTACTGTTTCCCTTTCAGCTGGGATGGGAAAGGGGGCACAGGAGCCCTGGGAGATGTCGGTGTCCTAAGGAGAGATCTGCAAACCATTTGGGCACATCTCTGGACAGTTCCCCCAGGTCTGTCTTGACTCTGGGGACTGGAGTCAGGGCCTCTGGATTTGAAATGCCATGAGTCCCGGGCAGATTTCCTGGTGCTTCATATGCCTTGGTTTCCTCCTCTGTCTGGAGTGAGTTTGCCTCCTGGAAAACGTCGGGTCCGTAGGAACAAAGTAGAGAGTTGTGACAATTATCTAGATAATTCAGAAGGGACTCTGCAGTAGCCGCTCTGCCCACCCACCCCTGCCACAGGCCCC